TTGTGCATTTAAATTTGTGGTGGTCTGAATTTTTTTGAGTTCTTTATATATTCTAGATAATAATCCTTTATCTGAATAGCTGGTAAAAATTTTTTCCTTCTCTGAATTATATCTTCACTCTGTTGGTGGTTTCTTTTGCTGTGCAAAAGATTTTTAATAAGATGAGGTCCCAGTTGTTGATTGTAGTATTTCCTGTGTGGTCTCAATTTTATTCATGAAGTCTTTGCCTACTCCTGTGTCCTCAAGCTTTCTATCAATTCTCTCTTTCAGGAGATTTAGTGTTTCTGTTTTAATATTTAGATCTTTAATCCATTTTGATTTTAGGTTAGTGCATGGTAAAAGATATGTGTCTAATTTCAATCTTTGATATGTGGAAAGCCCATTTTTCCAGCACCATTTATTGAAGAGGCTATCTTCCTTCCAGTGACGGTGTTTCGCTCCTTTGTCAAAAATGAGGTGGTTGAGTGTGTCTGGAGTTGTTTCTGCATTCTCTAGTCTGTTCCAGTGATCCTCAGGTCTGTCCTTTTGCCAGTACCATGCTGTTTTTATCACCATAGCTTTGTAGTATAAGTTAAAATCAGGGATTGTAATCCTTCCTTGCCTCTGTTGCCCAGAATTGCCTTTGCTATTCTAGGTCTCTTCTGGTTCCAAGTGAATTTTAGGATTGCTTTGTCTAATTCTGTGAGATACGCTGTTGGGATTTTGATTGGGATTGCTTTGAATCTGTATAACAGTTTTGGAAGTATGGCCATTAGTTCTTCCTATCCAAGAACAAGGGATATGTTTCTGTTCTCTGATATCCACGTTGATCTTCTTTTTCAGAGTACTGTAGTTTTCAATGTGGAGGTTTGTTACTTCCTTTGTTAGATTGATTCCTAGGTATTTCATTTTTTTGCATGCTATTGTGAAAGGGATTGTTTCTCTAATTTCTCTGTCAGTGAGTTTGTTATTCGTGTTCAGGAAGGCTATTGATTTTTGGTGTTGACTTTGTATCCAGCTGTGGCAATGAATTTGATTATTAAATCTAGAAGTCTTTTGATGGAGTTTTTGAGGTCTTCCATGTAGAGTATAATGTCATCTGCAAATAATGGTAATTTAACTTCTTCCTTTCCACTCTTTATTCCTTTTATTTCTTTCTCTTGTCTAATTGTTCTGGCTAGTGTTTCTAGAATTTTATCGAACAAGAGAGATGACAGTGGACATCCTCATCTTGTTCCTGATTTTAGAGTGAAAGCTTTCAATTTTTGTCTATTCAGTAAGATGTTGGCTGTTGGTTTTCATAGATGGCTTTTATGAGATTGAGATAAAGACCATCTGTATGAATTTTGTCTAGAGTTTTTATCATGAATGGATGTTGTACCTTGTGAAATGCTTTTGTGCATCTATTGAGAGTGTCATACAGTTTTCGTCCTTGGCTCTGTTAATATAGTGTATTACATTTATTGATTTGCATATGTCAAGCTATCCCTGCATCCGTGAGATGAATCCAACTTGGTCATGGTATATAACCCTTGATGATTTGCTGCATTCTGTTTACCAGTATCTTATTGAGGATTTTTGCATCTATGTTCATTAGGGAGACTGGCCTGTAATTCTCCTTTTTAGTTGGATCTTTCTCTGATTTTGGAATCAGGGTAATGCTTGCTTCCAGGAATGAATTTGGAAGTATTGCTTCCCTTTCAATTTCAGTAAAGAGTTTGAGATGTAGTGACAGTAGGTCTTCTTTTAAATTTCTTATAGAATTCAGCAGTGAATTCATCAGGGCCAGGGCTTTTCTTTTTTGATAATTTTTAAATTACATATTCAGTTGCATTGGCTGATACTGGTTTATTTATAATTTCTATATCTTCTTGATTAAGTTTTGGTAATTCATATGTATCTAGGAATCTGTCCATTTCTTCTGTATTTTCCATCTTACTAGACTACAGGTTCTTGAAGTAGGTGTTGCTGATTTTCTGGATCTCTGCAGGATCTGTTGTGATTTCACACTTTTCATTCCTCATGGCATGGATTTGAGTATTTTCTTTCCTTTTTTGATAAGATTGGCTAAGCGTTTGTGAATTTTATTTAATCTTTCAAAGAACCAACTCTTCAATTCGTTGATTCTTTGTATTGTTTTCTTAGTCTCCATTGCATTAATTTCTGTCTGATTTTTATAATTTCCTCTCTTGTGTAAGCTTTGGGCATGACTTGCTCTTTTTCTAGAAGCTTGAGGATTAACATTAGGTTGTTTGAGTCTGCTTTGTTTTTCTGACAGAAGTTCGCAGCTATAAATTTCTCTCTTAGGACTGCTTTCATTGCATCCCGTAAGTTCTAACTTTCATTAATTCCCATAAGTGTTGTCATTATCATTTAATTGTAGAAATTGTCTGATTTCTGCTTCAATTTCACCTGTGACCCATCTTTAGGAGGGTTTTATTTAATTTCCATGTGTTTATGGAGTTCTTGTTTCTTTTACCATTGATTTCCAATTTCATTGCACTATGTTCTGATAATATACGTGGGATTCTTTCAATTCCTTTGCATTTATTTAAGCATGTTCTATGAGCTAGTATATGGTCTATTTTGGAGCAAGTCCCATGTGCAGCTGTGAAGAATGTGTATATTGATATTGCGGGGTTGGACAGTGTGTGAACATCTACTGAGTCCATTTTTTCAAAAGTTTGGTTCAATTCTGATATTTCATTGTTGATTTTTTGTCTGTTTGATCTGTCTATTTGTGACAGTGGGATATTGAGATCCCCCATTGCAGGTGTATTAGTGCTTATATGATTTTTCATGTCCATTAATACCTGTTTTGTATAGTTGAGTGCACTGCTATTTGGTGCATATATATTTAGAATTGTTATCTCTTCCTCTTGGATTGTTCCCTTTACCGGGATGTAGTGACCTTCTTTGTCTTTTAATCAATCTTGGTTTAAAATCCACTTTGTTCGCAAATACAATAGCTACCGCTGCTCTTTTCCAGGTTCCTGTTGCATGGAATATTGTTTTCCATCTTTTGACTTTCAGTTTTATGAATTTATTTTTCAATTAAATGTGTTTCTTGTATGCAGGATATTGGTGGATCTTGTTGCTGCTTCTTCTTTTTTTTTTTTTGTTACTGTGGATGGAACTTAGGACCTTGTGGTTGCGAGGCAGGTGCGGTGCCACTGAGCTAAATCCCCGGCCCTGGATCTTGCTTCTTGATCCATTCTGCCAGTCTGTTTCTGTTGATTGGGGAATTGAGATCATGGACATTGATTGTTATAACTGATATATCTTGTTTTATTTCTGTCATGTTATTTTCCTGCTGTTGGCTTCCTTCTTTCTTTTTAATTTCTTGCCTTGCCATGTGGATTCATTCTGTTGGGGTTCATGGAGTTGTAATCCTTATTGTCTCTTTCTAGAATGTCTTTCAGAACACTTTGGAGTGCTGGTTTGGAGGTCGTGAATTTCTTCAGGTGCTCTTTGTCATGGAAGTATCTAATTTCTCCATCAATTTTAAAGGATAGCTTTGCAGAGTACATTAGTCTGGGTTGGATGTTGTTTTCCTTTAAGGCTTGAAATATTTCACTCCAAGCTCTTCTTGACTTGCGAGTTTGTGTTGAGTCTGCTGTGATTCTGATGGGCCTTCCTTTATAGGTGATTTGTTTCTTTAATAGCTTTTAATACTCTGTTCTTGTGTTGAATTTATGAAATCTTGAGTATTATATATCTGGGGGAAAGACTTTTTTTGACAATGGCTATTTGGAGTCCTATATGCCTCACTTAATCTGTATGTCAAATTCTTTTTCCCTGTTTGGGAAGTTTAATTTAATTATTTCTGAGAACAGTTTTTATGTCATTCGCACTATTTTCTGCTTTTTCATTGACTCCAATCAATCTTATGTTATTTTTCTTTGCATCATCTAGCAGCTGCTGGATTGATTTCTCATGGACCCTTGCTATTTTTAAGAAATCTCTCTTTTCATGATTGTTAATCGCGATCCTGTCTTCTATATCTGATATTCTGCCCTCACATTGGCTCATTCTGCTGCGTATACTTTACTTTCAGTGGAATTTTTAATCTCTGGATATCTGTTTGAATCTGTTTTATGGATTCTGTTTCTTTCCTATGCTGGGCATTCATGGTTTCCATCATATTTCTCATCTGTATCTTTCATTCTTGTCACCATCCCTGTAGTTATCTGGGAAATTATTCCTGGTTTGAATTTTTCTATAGTCTTGTTCATTTGCTTTGTTAATTCTGCTGTTACCACTTTAGAGAGTCCAGGTGGGTCACTTTCGGAATGTTCCTCTTAATTGCCCCCAGGGTTTGCCTTTGGTGAGCTGAAAGTCTGGGGGGGCAGGTTGCATCTTATTTAAGTTTGTTGTCACTCTCTATTTTTTTTTTAACTTTGATTACTGAGTTTATACTTGTAAATTGCTTATGTCGAGTAGCTTTATTGCCAGTATTCAGAACCTTTAGGAAATGACTACCTCTTGAAAGTGTCTTTCAAGTGTAGCTAGCTTTTGGGTTTTGAATTTGTTGCAGGATCAATTACATATATGTAATTGGTGTGTATATATATATATATATATATATACACACACACACAATTGATATATATATGATGTTTATTATAGATCACAGTGAAAAAATCAGAATGCATTTGTTATATATTAAGTCAGTGATAAAATAGGATTTGTTAAGTTCAGTGGTTGAAAAGTAGAATTTTATACTATGTTTCTATTTGGAGTGCTGAAGAATTCTGTTTTCTAAAGAGAACACTAACAAAGAAATTTTTCTGGAATAAAAAGCAAATGGGGAAATTTTGGTTTTTTTGGAATTAGACATTATTAATGGCCAGGCATTGTGTCCCACCCCTGTAATCCCAACACCTATTAGACTGAACCAGGATTTTTAATTTGAGGCCAGCTTGGGCTACACAGTGAGAGGGACACTTTTGTCTCAGGCTATGTGATAAAAGGATTGATACTACATTTTGTTACATGTAGTTTTTGTTTTTATGTTCTAGGAGATTCAGGTGTCTGGGGGTTGAAAAAAAATTTTGCTTTATTGGAGCTTTTAGAACGACTGCAGAATGGACATATTGGTCAGTATGGAGCTGCAGAAGAAGCCATTGGCATATCTGGAGAGGTATTGATTGAACTTGGTAAAATATTTGTTACAAGATGATTTTTCACTTAGTTTAAAATATTTGCTATTGGGCTGGGGATTTAGCTCTGGTTCCAGCGCCTGCCTCGCATGCACAAGGTCCTGAGTTCGATCCCCAGTATCAAAAATAAAACAAAACAAAACAAAAAAATATTTGCTATTAACACAATAGTACCTCCTTTGCTTTAGCAGGTCAATTGCTTGAGACATAGCTTTTTATTATATTACACTTCATTAAGGGTATACTACTACCAACATAACAAAAGTAGAGCTGAAACTTGAGTTATTTGAAAATACTATTCCTAAGCTATGTATGTGTCAGCTTTTCTCCTTCTTATAATTCAATTCTACCCAAGGATAGAATGAAGAAAAGTAATAGGATCATAGGAGTAAAAAATATGTAAGCTACATTACAACAAAGGACGCAAAAGTGTATCAGTCAACAGTGAAGTACAGTTAGAACAACAACAAAAAAAAACTATGAAAGAGACCATTTCATATAGAGGGAAAATGTCTTATTAAAGATAGTAGTAGCTTAGTTGCCAATATATTTTTATTGTTAAATAAAACTTGTGGGAGGTCATGAATTTGAACTGGGTATTTGTGCTGGGCTTAACAGACTAAACCTATATAGAATGTAATCACAAGGAAGGAAGGAACAAGAAAAAAAGTGAAAATAGAAGGAAAAAATGGAAACAAAGCTTCTGTACATAGGGAGAGGCAGGGGCTTGAGGGGAGAAATAGGATAAAATAAAATAAAATGTATTGAAAAAAAGAATAATCACAGTTTATTTAATCAAAGTAACTAAACAATGGTTGGTTGCAGGTAGCCAATTAATTGACTGATTGACTAAGCTATGGCCAGTTAAGTTATTTTCAATATCTCACTTCCACTTTTTAAAATAAATCCTATCTGATCACATTGTTGGTTGAAGTACTTTGAAACTGTTCTGGAAGATGCCCAATTTACAAATCATTTTTTCTTTGCATTGCTTTGTTTTTCTTTGCTCAAATACACTCCACTTAAGAGAATTTGCTGAAGGAATTTTCTGTTTTGTTTTTTTTTTTTTTTTTTGGTACCAGGGATCGAACTTGGGTCCTTGCGCTTGTGCAGCAGGCGGTGAAACCACTGAGCTAAATCCCCGGCCCAAGGAATTTTCTGTTTTAACATATATAAAGCTTTATAAGATTATGGGGTTTTACATTTCAAAATTTGTTTAATGTTATATTGACTGGGTTCAGTTTTAAGGCATTAATTTTTTGTTTGTCAGAGTATCATTCGTTGTGATGAAGATGACGCTCATGTTGCATCTGTATATTGTACTGTGTGTGCAACTCACTTGTGCTCGGAGTGTTCTCAAGTTACTCATTCTACAAAGACCTTAGCAAAGCACAGGCGAGTGCCTCTAGCTGATAAACCTCATGAGAAAACCATGTGCTCTCAGCACCAAGTACATGCCATTGAATTTGTTTGCTTGGAAGAAGGTTGTCAGACCTGCCCACTCATGTGCTGTGTCTGCAAAGAATATGGAAAACATCAAGGTCATAAGGTAAGAATTTTATTAAATTGGATGACTCTCTCTAGTTTACCAGCCTACCATTTGTTTTCTCTGACACGGTTCTTTATGCTAAAATGAAGGATTGAGAAGAATTAAATGATGCATGGGTTGGGGTTGGTAGCATAAAAAGAAATGAGGGATTTTTTTGGTACCAGGGATCGAACTTGGGACCTTACGCTTGGGAGGCAGGCAGAAGCACCACTGAGCTAAATCCCTGGGCCTTTTTTTTTTCTTTTTTGAGACAGAGTCTTGGTATATATTTCAGCCTGGCCTTGAACTCACTATGTAGCCCAGGCTGGTATCAAACTCATAGCAGTTCTCCTAGCTCAGCCTCCCAAGTGCTGGGATTACATGTGTGTGCCACCACTCTTGACTTGAGAGATTTCTGAATGTCATAACAATTTCAGAAAGGCCTAATGACTCTACTGAAAAATATCTTTCCATCCAGGTGCGGTGGTACACAACTGTGATCCTAGCAACTAGGGAGGCTCAGGCAGGAGGATCACAAGTTTGAGTCCCCTTTTGTAACTTAGTGAGACCTTGTCTCAGTAAAATTTAAAAAATAGGGGCAACCCACTTTCTGGTCGCCCTTCGGTCTCTCTTAGACAGAAGCTATCTTTCTCTCAATAAATTTTTCCTACTCTTAAAAAAAAAAACCAAAGCTGACATTTTTGTAAGGTTAGACAAAAATAAACAGAAGAACAACAACAAAAACACACACACAAAACAGAACAAAACAAAATTTAAAAAATAAAGGGTTGGGGTAGCTTGGTGGTAGAAGCTTGCCTAACATGTTCTGGGTCCTGGGTTCAATGCCCAGCCTCCAAGGGAAAAAAGTAAACTTTCTAGTAGGAAACAAAAGCTTTCTTTATGTGCATGTTTTCATAATGCACAGGATAATTTAATAATATTTATGTGTACTGATGAACTATTATGATATAATTTTAGAGATAGTCTCTTGTTTTTTTGTCTGAGAAATGGACTCCAAATTTTAAATTATTTCTTTGTAGTATGGTTCTCTTATGAAGAAGTAAAGTGAGTTAGTATATTCTTACCTTATGCTGCACTTTTTCTAAAAGTGTTGTAGAAGTCATCTATAGCTGATTTTTTTGTATTAAGTGGAATTTAAATAATTTTTATATCATTAATCAATATTTTAAATTCTGTAATTATGTTGCATTTTATAGCATTCGGTATTGGAACCAGAAGCTAACCAGATCCGAGCATCAATTTTAGATATGGCTCACTGCATACGGACCTTCACTGAAGAAATCTCAGATTATTCTAGAAAATTAGTTGGAATTGTTCAGCACATTGAAGGAGGAGAACAAATAGTAGAAGATGGAATTGGAATGGCTCACACAGAACATGTATGGATTTTCTTCTTTTTTTTTTTTAAATCTTTTTACCCTTTTTCATTCTCACATTTTCACCTTCTAGAAAGTATTGCACAATTACAGTGTGCCAGTACTGACCTAGTGACTGGATATAACTTTTTAAAAAGTATTTTTCTTCATGGAAGTTGTAATCCTTTATGGAAAGGAGGCAGTGTGATAGTGTGATAACTGTTTTGTATGGTGGGTAGGGAAGCGCACAGTGCACATAAAAGGGACAGCAATTTATGTAGGTCAGAGAAGGCTTCCTAGAAGAACTCATGTCTAAACTGAGATTTGAAGGAGTTTGATCAGAGAGAAGAGTGTGGTGAGGACTGAGCTGTCCCCAAAGGTAGAATATGTTAAAATGGTTAAAGTGAGGATTGGACATACTGAAACTTAAAATCCACTGGAGCTCTCAGAGCTCCTTGGTAAGAAGAGAGGTTGGAGAGTTAAAGCTAAATCAAACAAGATCTTTTTAGTCATGTTAAAGAGTTTGGAACTTAGCTTTAGTGCAGTGATGAGCCATTGAAGAATTGAGGTAGGAATGACATAATTAAGTTTGCATTTTAAAAAGTTACTTTTAAATACAGAAAATGATTTGGAAGAGCAACAGATTGGAAGCAGGAAGATCTATTAAGACATTGTTAAAGTTTTCTAGTTCAAAGATGTTTATGGCTTGTAATGCTAGAGTAGTAAGACTGAAAAGTAAGATGGATTTGAGGTTTGATGTTTTAAGGAGGTAGTGTAAGTAGGGCTTAATGATTGTTGATATCCATTGGACAGGTAACTTGGAGGGTCAAGCAGTTAGACCATTTAGAAAGCTATTACACCAAGTGTGATAGAAAAATATAGTGAATATTTAAATAAAAAATTATTACAATAAAATACACATTACCATTAATCACCTTTAGACTACTACTTCCTCTCACCTAAGATACACTTATTCTTGGCACTTCCTGAAACAATTCTGGAAGTCCTCTTTTGTGAATGTCTTTAGTAGTGCTCTTGTGACTACTTTGATGTCCTGAATTGATTCAAAACATTTGCCTTTCGTGGTCATTTTAACTTTGTGGAAGAGTCAGAAGTTGCAGTGTGCCAGATCCAGTGAATAAAGTAAATGAGGACACATCATCATGTTTTTACAAGCCTGCCTTTCTGTTGGATGGGAGGACTTCTAGAACTACTTCAGGAAGTAGCAAAAATGACAGGACAAGTGTTTTTGAACTGAGGGAAGTATTTTGAGGGGGATTAATGGCAATGTGCTTTTAGCATAATATTTTAAAATTTAAACATTCATTGTATATTTTGATGATACCTCATAATAACAAGGTGAGAGGTGATAATGCTTGGACTAGGTTGTTTGAATTGTAGATAGTGAAGCACGATCAGATTCTGGATATATTTTGAAGTCATGAGAAGTTTGCTGAAGGACTATTTGTGGTATATGAAAGCCATGTTAAGGATGACTCCTATTTTTTCTTTTTGGGTTTAACAACCTGGAGGATGGAGTTACCGTTTACTGAGATGGAGGTAACTAGGTGTGGGGGTTGGGGAGACTGGAGATTAGGTTTTCCATTTTGCTTAGATGTCATTCATAAACAGTTGGATATTCAGAGTCTGTAGTTGAAGGGAAAACTCTTATTGTGGAGGTTTAAATTTTGGAATTTGTAAGGGTATAGATGTCTAAAATATTTATTTAGGTTACATTTGTTTAAAACCTAGGTACCAGGTACTGCAGAGAATGCACGGTCATGTGTCCGGGCTTATTTTTCTGATCTACACGAAACTCTGTGTCGTCAAGAAGAAATGGCTCTAAGTGTTGTTGATGCTCATGTTCGTGAAAAACTGATTTGGCTTAGGCAGCAACAAGAAGATATGACTATTTTGTTGTCTCAAGTTTCAACTGCCTGCCTCCATTGTGAAAAAACTTTGCAGCAGGTCAGTGGTTTAAACGTGGCCAAAGCCATAGTTGTAAGGTAAAGTAGATAATTACCAGAGATATACACTATTCTATTTTTTTTAATTCAGTGACTGAGCTTTCCTGCATGCATTGCTATTGTTCTTAGGATGTGGTCTGTAACTTCAAATTACTGCATTAACCACATCAGTGTCCTGTTCTTCATTTAACCCCTCTATCATAAAGCTGTGGATTCTAGGAACCCTCTAACTTCCTATCCTTCAGTCATGCCAAGCTTCATTACTGTTCTTTGTCAAGTATATGCTATTTTTTTCTGATTAGAGTGCCTCTCTTTTCAGTTAGTGGAAATCTTCCTTTGCCTTCAAGGTTTAGTTCAAATGTTTGCTAATCCTTGGAGCTTTCCCTTCCTTAGTCTTTTTTGGATGCTTACTAGCATGTACTCCCTTGCTCTGTTCTAATTTGATGGTTCTTCAGTATTATAGTAAACCTATATTTTATGATAGTTGAGGTATTATAAGCAATTTGTTACCCAGCTTACAGATGATTTGTTTTTTAAATAAATTAGATTCCATGTTATTCTAACAAAAATTTCAGGCTTACACCTTTCTGTTTTGGATCTGGTTTCGTAAGTGGAAGACATAAAGTTAATTGCTACTGTAAGAATTTTAGAATAGCTAGTATCTACCTTATTTTTACTGATGCACTGCTAGTTGCTATATTGATTTCATATTATGGTAGCCTAAACCTTTTACCCTCATAGAGCTTTTTCTCTGAAATATCTGATTATATTTATGAGAGTGTGGCCAGTGACCTCATCAGTCTTGAGTTGTTTTGTGTTTAGTCTTTATTTCATTGAATTGTAGCAGTTGATGTGTATGCAACTTATTAAGTTGTCTTTTGATTCCAATCCTTCTCTTTTTTCATTTGCTTTGTGATGCTGGGGCCAGAACTCTTATAAAGGACTTATCTTGCTCCCTGTTAGGTGCTGCTAATAGGAGGCACTAGAGGAAAGTTGGAAGGCAGGAGGCAGCTTCCTGTGAGTTCCAGTTGGCTTGAGTTTCCAGTGAATGCCACTCCTTTCAGTGAAGGGACAGCTTCTGAGTTTCAGCTCTATGTAGCCCTGCCTATGAATTTCTGAGTTATAGTAATTCTAATATTTTCCCTTTATTCCCCAGCTGTGTAGATAGCTATTTCCTATAGTTGCTGCCTCCATCATACCTACCCATTCAATCATCTAGTTAATAATTACTACTTAGGCTTTTTTTTTTTTTTTTTTTTTTGAGATAGTCTCTTGTGTAGTTCAGGTTGGTCTTGAACTTACCATGTGGCCCAGCCTGGCCTCAAACTTGGGGCAATCCTCTTGCCTCAGCTTCGTGAGTGCTGGGATTACAGGTGTGTGCCACCAAGCCCATCTGTATTAAGTTCTTTATGTTCAAGTAACTGGATTATTTATGTTTTCTGATTTGACCTTGAATGATGTAGTATGCATATTTGCCCCACAAGCTATCTGTATGCATCCTGTTCACCTTTATATCTTTAAATTCTTTGTATATAGATAGAAGTAATTTAATAAATACTTGTTCAGCTCATGGTGGGTGATCAAGCTACACAGCAAAATCAGAACAGAATAATATCTTAACTCATATTTACTTGACTACTTGAGTATTTTCATATTTACTTTATGAAAAAGTATGTTCATATTTACAAAATATTTAAAAGTATTTTAGTGTTTCTGAAGTATTCTGTCAAAATAACTGGTTATTGTCAGTGTTATGTTATTCCCTTGTGTTAATGTACCTAAAATTGGGTCTTGGATTCATTTTTAATGTGGAACCATTATTTTTTTGTTTTAAAAAAATTTAATTAATGCATAATAATTGTATATACTTATGGGCTACAATTGCTGTTTTGATGTATACATTGTATAATGATTATATCAGGGAAATTAGCACATCCATCACCTCAAACATTTATCATTTCTTTGTGGGAAGAACATTGTACAGGAAGAACTTAAAGTATATCTCTCTATGTATATTTGTATATAACTTTATATCTGATAGGAGCTCAAGTAATTCAACAGCAAAATACCCCAAATAATCCAATCAAAAGTGGGCAAACATACTAATCATAAGGGAAATGCAAATCTTGACTTCAACGAACTATACTTTGGTCATTCCACTTAAAAAGGCTAATATTTAAAAGATAAAGAAAAGAAAACCCTCCCTTTAAACTATTTCAAAATATACAATATAGGTTCAATATCCAGAAATAAAAAAATCTGTGTTCTAGAATCTGATTTTTTTTTTTTTTGAGACAGGGTTTCACTAAGTGGTTAGGTTGCCTAGTTTGGGCTTGAGCTTGTGATTCTCCTGTTTTAGCCTCCTAGAATATGGGGATTACAATTGTGTGCCACCATGCCTGGTTTAAAATCCGAAACTTTTTGAGCAGCAGCGTGACACTGAAAAAGGTTTTGGGTTTGGAGATTTTCAGATATCAAATTTCAGCTGTTAAAATCTATATAAATATTCTAAAATCTACAAACCCCTGACATCTGAAACAGTTCTAGTCCCACGCATTTCAGATGTAGAATACTCAATCTGTATATTATTGTCATCCTATACTCACCCTGCTGTGTAATAGAACACTAGAACTCATTTCTCTTACCTGTTATAACCACTGTTGTATTCTCTGCTTCTACAAGAGCAACTCTTTTAGATTTCATATATGATTGAGATAGTGTGGTGTTTATCTTTCTGCACCTGCCTTATTTCACTTGTCCTAAAGTCCTCTAGGTCATCCTAATACACCACATTTTTTTTCTTTTTCTTTTCTTTTTTTTTTTTAGTACGTATTTGCCATATGTAATGATCACATTCATCATAGGAGATTTGTACCTGTATATAATATGTCTTAGTTCTTCTTTTTTCCCTATTCTCCTCCCCATTTACAAAAGCTTGTTTCCATTTTTCCCTTCCATTATCTTTTTTAAAATCTCTTTTCCTTTCCTTACTTTCTCCCTCCTCTCTGCATTGTCCCCTTCCCATTTGAACATTGTTCTTTCTACTTCCCAATATCTATCCTCTGTTTTACTCATTTACCCATTCAGTTTCTCACACAAGAGAAACAATGTAATTAGACCTGTGTGTCTGATTTATTTCACTTAACATTATGGCCTCGAATATAGAGCACATTTTACTAACCCACACATCAGTTGATAGACACTCATATTGATTGCATGTCTTGACTATTATGAGTAGTGCTGTAATAAACATGAGAGTGCAGATATCTTTTTGACATAACGATTTAATTACCTTTCAAGATATACCTAGTAGTGGAATTGCTGGATCATATAGTAATTGTTTCTAATTTTAAACATCCATACTGTTTTCCATAGTGGCTGTAATTACTAGTTTACATTCCGATCAACAGCCAGTCACAGCAATGTGTGCCTGTAGTGTCTGCACCTGGGAGGCTGAAACAGGAGGATCAGTTGAGCTCAGGAGTTCAGGATCAGCCTGAGCAATATAGCTAGACAAACTTACCAACACTTACCTTTTCACCTTTAGATATTAGCCACTCTAACTGGCTCATTGTAGTCCTGATTTGCATTTCCCTGATGATTAGTGATGTTGAACATTTTTCCATATAACCAGTGGATATTTTGGCATCTTCTGAGGACTGTATATTCAGATCTTTTCATGTTGTTCTTTGGATTATTTGGGAATATGTTGCTATTTCCTATAGATTGTTTTTCTATTCTGTTGACTACTTTGTTGTGTGAAAGCTTTTTCATTTGATATACTTCTGTTTGTGTGTTTTGTTTTTGTTGCTTGTACTTTTATTTTATAGTGCTTTTATCCCAGAAGTTTTGGCCACCACTTGCCCCATGTCCTGAAATGTTTCCCTTATGTTTTCTTCTAGTAGTTTTTTTTTTCTGTTTTTGTTTGCTTTGTTTCTTTTTTTTTTCTTTTTATGAGACAGGATCTTAGTATGTAGTTTAGGCTGGCTTTGAACAAAGGAAGAGGGAGGAAGATAGACCTTTCAAGGTTGTGCTGCCTGTGTCCCACCTGTGTCTTGCAAGGCTTCACCTCGCAAGATCTCATATTAGCTATAAGCTCATCAGTAGATTAATCCATTGATGAATGTCCCACCGCCATATCCAGCCACCTCCCAAAAGCCCCACCTCTGAGTGCTTGAAGCTTTGGGGGGACATCTACATATAAACCATACCAAGGTCATACAGAATTATATGTAAGGAAGGCCCTGTGAGCCATTGTAAAGACTTCAGCTTTAATGATGGTGAAGGGGCAATCGTTGTGCTTTGGGCACAGGAATGACTTGTTAAAAGGATCACTCTGGCTGATGTATAAAAAATAGACTGAAGGAGGTTGAAGATATAAAGAAGGAGTTCAACAGGGAACTGTTCATATAATTCTAGGAGAAACGTAATAATGGTTTGGATACTGGGTGTTAGAAGTGCCCAAATTCTGGATATCTTACAGGTTATGGAGTCAGATTGTATGTGAGGTATGAGGGAGAGAGAAAGCAAGAATAAATTAAAACTTTGTTCTGAGCAACTATAATAGAATTTTTATCAACTAATATAAGTATTAAACAATGAGAAATATATAATACTCCTGCTATTATAGAGCTTACCTATCCTTGAGACGTTTTTTTGTTTTCATTTCTTTTTTTGTTGTACTGAGGTTCAAACCTAGGGGTGTCATACAGGCTAGGCAGGTGCTCTACCAGTGACCTATATCCCTAGCTCAGAAGATCATTTTTCTCTGAAAATTATATTGGTGTATATATATGTAGAATATTCAGGAAACTGGAAAGTATTTTGAGAGGGCCTGGTGATCTAGAGTGAGAGGGAAACTTCATGGTTTGATTTTTGGATTTTTGTCCTTTTTTTTTTTAACCAATACATATATTGTTCTTTAAACTTTATAAAAGTGGAATGACCATACAGAAGTGTGTACACAAATGTTTGGCTGGCTAAATTTTCAGGTTGATCACCTAGTGTGTAACCAACACTCAGACCAAGTAACAAGATTGACAATACTTCAGAAGTCCCCCCTGTTATTTGCCTAACCCTGCAAAGGTAAAGACCTTTCTTGCTTTTTTTTTTCTTGGTAATAGGAATTGAACCCAGTGCCTTTTGTGTCCTAGGCAAGTGCTGTACCACTGAGCTATATCCCCAGCCCTTTTTATTTTTGACACAGGGTGTAAGTTACTCAGGCTGGTCTCAAATTTGCGTGCTCCTATTTTAGCTTCCCAAGTAGCTGGGATTATAGATATGTGCCAGCACACTTGACACTTTTCAGACTTCTGCTGCATACTTACTTTGCTTGTTTTGATAGTTAATATATATGGAATTATACAGGATGAGTTCTGCATGCCATGTCTTCTCCATGCCATGTCTTAGACTACATTATATTTGCAAAATTCGTATCATCACATTTAGTTGTGTTTTATTTTCTTCATGATACAGGGTTCATTTGTGAATGTACCACAGTTTATTTATTCATTCTTCTGCTGTTAAATCTTTAAATTTTTTATTAGTGTTTCAGGTATTGTAATTCTAGTCAAAATTACATTTAATAGCTGAATTCTGTAGTGTTAAATGGAACTCTCTTCCAAGCTGACAGTGGTCTCTATTTCTTTAATAAAAGAAAAAGTTTATGGGAAATACTGTTGTCCCTTTTCTAGGATGATTGTAGAGTTGTTTTGGCAAAACAGGAAATTACAAGATTATTGGAAACATTGCAGAAACAGCAACAGCAGTTTACAGAGGTTGCAGATCATATTCAGTTGGATGCCAGCATCCCTGTCACTTTTACAAAGGTAATGTACCACGCTTTATTTTTAGGTATGTTTTCAGACAAGTCATAATTGATTTACATTTCTTTATAATCAGCACAAAAATATAACTAAGAAATTAATTAATTACAGGATTTTTTTTTTGTACCGGGGATTGAACTCGGGTCCTTGTGCTTGTAAGGCAGGCAGTGGAACCACTGAGCTAAATCTCCAGGCCCAATTACAGGATTTTTTACGAAAAACATTTCCTCCCAAGGAGAACAGGTTCTTTTTTTAAAAAAAATTATTTTTATAATTTGTACATCTTTATGGGATACTTTATGGTAATCCCATATGTATATACAGTGTTTATTAATCAAATGAATATAATAAGCATTTCTAAGAAAACTTTTAATCAGTGGAAAATAGAAAAAAATTATGAGTTTTCCTGTATTCATTATCCAGTTTAACAAGTACAAGCTTTTTTATGTCCTGTGTTCTTTTTTCCACCTTCTACCTGCAGTCTCTAGGATATTTTGAAGGATATTCTAGCATCATATGATTTCACTCCAATATTATATCATCCTATCTATGAAATATTTTACTGTGCATCTCCAAAAATAGGGATTCTTTTTCAAAGATTAAATAAAATCATACTTAAAACGTTTAATAATAATCTCTAATATTTTCACTAATGTTATCAAGTATCCATTTAATATTCAGATTGCCCAGGTTATTTCCAAACAAATTAATATTTTTTGAGAAAGAATCTAAGCAAGCCCTTACTTGGCATTTGGTTGATATATTTAATTCTCCTTTTATAGTGGATTCTCTTTGATTTGCTAAGGTTTGTGAGCTCTATTTTTCTATTTTTAGGGGTAGTTTTAAAATTTAACTTTGTTTTATAATTCTGTGAAACAATTTACAAGGTCTAGAATCAAATCTGCAAAGCAGTGTTCTTTAAGAGAAGTTTAACTTCTACCCTTGTTCCCTCTGCAATTTTTATTCCATAGAAAACTAGAATTTTTCCTAGTTTTATTCTTTGTTTGAAAAAAGTGAAAAAATTAAAAAATGTGTTTGTATATTTGTACTCATACTGCCCACATTGAAAAGTAGAATACCTTACACATTTTTTCTATCTTTTCACTTAACTATACAGTCTACAAAATCAGTGCATTACAATATATAGTGATATTTTTTAATCCCTTTATTTAGCTAAAAGATAACTTTATTTATTTATGTACTTATTTTTGGTACCGAAGATCGAACTTGGGACTTTGTGCTTGTGAGGCAGGCGCCAGAACCACTGAGCTAAATCCCCAGCCCTTACATTATCTATCTTTTTGTGGCAGGCTTATTTCACTTTGCATAATGTCTCTGCAATTCATCCATGTTGTGGAATGTAAGAGAATTTTACTCCTTTTTTGGCTGAATAATATTTCATTGTATATGTGTATACCTTATTTTGTTTATTGATTTATTAGTAGACACTTAAGTTGCTTTCACCTCTTGGTTTTTAAGTGCTGCTTTGAATGTGGGTATACTACAAATATCTCTTTGAGACACTTTAAGCTGTTGCGGACATATAACTAGAAGTGAAGATAGCAAGTTGATCATCTAGTAGGTCTATTTTTAATTTTTTGAAGAATCATTTTCCATAGTTTTCATACCATATTATAATCCCACCTTTAGTGCACAAGGGTTGTCATATCTCTACATTTTTTGCTTTGTTTTATTTTTATAGAAAAACATTTATTGGTATATTTTAAGCATGCATAAATGATAGGACTCACTATAGGGAATTTGCACCTGTACATAATACATCCTGCCCCTTTTTTCCCATTCCCCGGTTCCTTCAAGCCCCTTCCCCTCCCTAAGTACAAAAGCTTTGTTTCCATACTTTCCTTCTATTTTCTCTTTTTTTTTCTTGTCCCTTTCTTCCTTTCTTCCTCTCTCCTTTCTTGTTCCCCTTCCCATTTGAACATTTTCTTCCATTTTCTCATATCTGTTATATGTTTTAGTCTTTGTTTCCACTTTTAGTTTTTCACACCAGGGAAACAATGAGGTATTTAAACATGTGTGACCGATTTATTTCACTTATGATTATGGTCTCAAGGTCCATCCATTTAGCTGTAAATGTCTGAAGCTCATCCTTTTAGGCAAAGTATACTCCATTGTACAAAAAGAACTACATCTTTATCCATGCGTTGGTTGATGGGCATTTGAGCTGTTCCAAGATTTAGCTATTACAAACTGTGCCACTATAAACATGAGTGTGCATATATTGCTGTGGTATGATGCTTTTAGTTCTTTCGAGAAGATACTAAGAAGGGGAATAGCTGGGTCAGATGGAACCTCCAGTTTTCATTTTTTGAGAATTCTCTACACTGGTTTCCGCAGTGGTTGCACCAGTCTACACTCCTACCAGTGGTGGAGAAGGGTTCCTTTTTCCCCATAGCCCTGCCAGCATTTGTTATTGGTTGATTTCTTGATGACAGCCATTCTTTCTGGAGTGACATGGAATCTCAGCATTGTTTTAATTTGCATTTTTCAAATAACCAGTGATATTGAAATATATTTAAAATATATTTAAAATGTGTTTATTTGCTGTTTCTACTTCTTCATCTGAGAAGTGTCTGTTCATTTCAGATGCGCATTTTTGGGTTGGGTCTTTAAATTTAGGGGGTCTGATTATTTTGAGTTCTTTATATATTCTAGATAATAGTCCTTTGTCTGATAAATAGCTGGTAAAAATTTTTTCCCACACTGTGGGTTGTCCCTTCACCCTGTTGGTGGTTTCTCTTGCTCTGCAAAAGCTTTTTAATAAGATGAGGTCCCAGTTGTTGATTCTTTGTAGTATTTCCTGTATGTCCTGGGTTTTGTTCATGAAGTCTTTGCCTACTCTTATTGTCCTCAAACGTTCTACCTATTCCCTCTTCCAGCAGATTTAGTGTTTGTGTTTTAATATTTAGATCTTTGAGTCATTTTGATTTTAGATTAGTACATGGTAAAAGATATTTGTCTAATTTCAATCTTTGACATGTGGAAAGCCCGTTTTTCCAGCACCATTTATTGAAGAGGCTATCTTCCTTCCAGTGAAGGTGTTTGGCTTCTTTGTTAAAGATGAGGTGGTTGAGTGTGTCTGGAGTTGTTTCTACATTCTCTATTCTGCTACATTGATCCTCAGGTCTGTCCTGGTTGCCAGTACCATGCTGTTTTTAATCACCATAGCTTTGTAGTATAAGTTAAAGCCAGGGATTGTAATACTTCCTTCCTTGCCTTTGTTGCCCAGAATTGCCTTTGCTATTCTAGGTCTCTTCTGGTTCCAAGTGAATTTTAGGATTGCTTTGTCTAATTCTGTGAGATATGCTGTTGGGATTTTGTTTGTTTGTTTTTTTGGTACCGGGGATCAAACTCAGATCCTTGCACATGTGGGGCAGGCAACGGAACCACTGAGCTGAATCCCCGGCCGGGTGTTGGGATTTTGATTGGCGTTGCCTTGAATCTGTATAACAGTTTTGGAAGTATGGCCATTTTCACTCTATTAGTTCTTCCTATCCAAGAACAAGGGATATCTTTCTGTTTTCTGATATTCACTTTAATCTCTTTTTTCAGAGTACTGTAGTTTTCAATGTGAGGGTCTTTTACTTCCTTTGTTAGATTGATTCCTAGGTATTTCATTTTTTTGCATCCTATTATGAAAGGGATTGTTTCTCTAATTTCTCTGTCAGTGAGTTTGTTATTCGTGTTCAGGAAGGCTGAACTCCCATCCTATGTTATTAGGATTTTGATAGGGATTGGATTGAATCTGCATGTCACTTTGGATAGTTTTTTTTTTTTTTTTAGGCACGGTCTCACTATGTAGTTTAGGCTACCCTTATACTCACTATGTAGCCCAGCCTGGCCTCAAACTCATGGCAATCCTCCTGCCTCAGCCTCCGGAGTGTTGGGATTATAGGTGTGAGCCACCACTGGGTACTGGATAGTATTGACACTGTATATGACAATATTAATTTCCTAATCCATTCACATGGAATGCTTTTCTTTTATGGCTTCTTTATTTTAGCAGTGTTTTGTGGTTTATAATTTAGAAGTCTTTTAGTTTCTTGCCTGGTTTATTCTTAAGTATTTTATTCTTTTTCATACTATTATTAATGAAATTATTTTAATATCCTTTTTGGGTCATTGATTACTGTAGAAACACACACCTGATTTTTGTAGTGTCCTTCTTTGTCTCTCTTAATCAGTGTTGGTTTGAAATCCACTTGATCTACAGAGAGGATAGCTACTCCTGCTTTTTCACACACCTGATTTCTGCATGTTTATTTTGTGTCCTACATCTTTGTTGGATTCATAGACTCATTTTTATGGAATTGCTTAGAGTTTTCCACATGTAAGATCATGTCATTTGTGAAGAGAATTTTATATTTCTCTTTGATTTGGATGCCTTTCATTTTATTTTTCTTAATTGTTCTGGTTAGGACTTCTAGTCTAGTATTGTGCTGAATAGATATTGTGAGAGTGAATATCTTCATTGTATTTCTATTCTTAGAAGAAAAGCTTTCAGTTTTTCATTGACTGTGATGGTATCTGTAGGCCTATATTATGTTGAGGTGTTTTCCTTCTATTCCTAGTTTATTGAGTGGTTTTATCATGAAATCATGTTGAATCTTGTCAAATTTTTTTTTGCATTAGTTGAGATGTTCATATTGTTCTTGTGAACCATTCTACTAAAATGGTATATTACATTGATGTTAAACCACCCTTGCCTTTTAGGTATAAATCCCATTTAATAATGGTTTGGAATCCTTTTAATCTGTTGTTGAATAAAGTTTACTAGTATTTTGCAGTTTCCTTCTGTTTGTACCTATGTAAATTTAGTACCATTTTTATCCTTACTTTGAAAAGTGATAAGTGGGACAGAAGGCACACGCCTTGGAATGTTCACTATATATGTTCATTACAGCATTCTTTCTAATATCAAAAAATGAGAAATGATCTAAAATTAAACAGTAGGGAATTGGTTAAATTGTGGTCCATGGAATATAATGAAACCATTAAAAAAAAAAGTTGGTCCATGTATTCAAAATAAAAGAATCTATAATCTGTTCAGTGAGCAATGATAGTTACACTGTATAGTATTAAGCTTTTTTTTTTTTCTTTTTTGGTACCAAGGATCAAACTCAGGACCTTGTGCTTGCCAGGCAGGTGCAGCACCACTGAGCTACATCCCCGGACCTAAACTTGTTTTTTTTCTTTTTTTTGGTACCAGGGATTGAACTTGGGACCTTGCACTTGCAGGCAGCGGCACCACTGACCTAAATCCCAGGCCCCTAAACTTGTTTTTTTCTTTTTTTGGTACCGGGGATTGAACTCAGGACCTTGAGCTTGCGAGGCAGTTGACGGGAACTACTGAGCTAAATCCCCAGTCCTAGGAGGAGGTACTTTTTTTTTTTTTTTTTTTTTTAGCACTTGCCAGGCAGGCGGTGAGCCACTGAGCCACATCTCTGGCCCCCCCAAACTTGTTTTTATAAGCATATTTTTTGTGTGTATGTTAGCCATTGTATGCATAGAAAAATGGGAGGATGTACATTCACTTGTTAACAGTAGATGTTTCTGGGAATTGAGAAGCAGTTTTCATTAAGTAGTTTAGCACTATTACTGCATAAAAATATGTTATTGAAAAAAGTTTCAGTTGAGCTAGAATGTTTGAGAAAATGAAGTGGGTATGTGTGTGTTTTATTGTTCCACTTCTTTCAATTTTTTTTTCTTTTTTCTGGTACTGGGAATGAAAATTCAGGATCTTGTGCTTCCCAGGAAGGCGTGGAGCCACTGAGCTAAATCTCCAGCCCTATTCTTCCACTTATGTGAAAATAAAGTGGTCAATTTTACTAAGGACAGATTTAGCCAGGGGGAAGAATTTATCTCCTTGAGAACATCAGATTTAGAGGATTATGAAATGTGGAGGCATGTGTAAGAGACATGGAAATAATAAAGTGTTTCATTAACAAAAGGTGTATATGCCATTATTTTGTAACTCCATATCAAAACTTAAAGTTTTTAAAACTTTAAATTATAGGACAATAGAGTTCACATTGGACCCAAAATGGAAATTCGAGTTGTTACATTGGGATTAGATGGTGCTGGAAAAACCACTATTTTGTTTAAGTTAAAACAAGATGAGTTCATGCAGCCCATTCCAACAATTGGTAAGTAAGAGTATTGCTTTTTTTTTTTAACTTTATTGGACATTTTATAGACAAACCATAGCTTACAGCTGGGTCTTAATTTGATACTGATTGTAGTGCAGATGAGGTATTTGTTGGCTCTAAGACACCAGCATTTTAGAGATAAAAATGCAAGTTTCTGTGGTTATGGCATTAAAATGTGGATGATAGGATAGTAAAAAGGAATAGAGTATTGGTGGGACAGTTACAAGGAATAGAGGATTGGTGACCCTGGCTGAAGGTTAGGGCTGAGGGAAATAGTGTAGTGGTACAGAGCTGGCAGATACATGGATTCCAAGGCCCTAAGGATCCTGGTAGAGGTATAGAGGGCTAGCAACCATTGAAGATATACATATCTCATGCAAGATTAGGAGTGAAGTCGTTTGGGCTTCAGTAGATACTGCTACATGCAGATAATCCATGAATCACAATTACAGAGTTGCCTGTATTTGATGTGTTATTCATTGTAACATACATATAGTATAAAAAATAACTTTTTTAAAAACAGGTTTTAATGTGGAAACTGTAGAATATAAAAATCTAAAATTCACCATTTGGGATGTAGGTGGAAAACACAAATTAAGACCATTGTGGAAACATTATTACCTCAATACTCAAGGTAAGCAAAATATAGTGTCCTAATTTTAAAAAATTATAGGATGATGGTTCTTGGTAAGTTAATTTAACTAGTGAAATGAATATTTAAACATTGCTTAAATACCTGAATGTGTATCAGTGATCAGGCCCTTATTTTTTAAAAAATTGATAGTGGTAAGCCTAGGATATGTAATTTTGGCTTACTCATGATAAACCATTATTATAGACTTAAAAACTGTAATGTTTAGGTGATTACACTTATAACTTGGTTGGTGTTAATAATTAACATACATTATTAGTATTTATATGGTTGTGATCACTGGCAATATAATGGTAAAAAGTTGAATTTGTGGTATATGCTTTTGTTGTTCAATCCATTTAAACATTTGGCCTGTTATAATCCCTCAGTAGCACCAATATCTAATTTATAGTTAGTTATTTTCAGAGGACTTACAATGGCTTGTTCTGTTTGTTTGTTTGTTTATTTGTTTTGAGGCAGGGTCTCCCTTTGTAGTTCAGGCTGGCCCTGAAGTCACTATTTAGCCCAGGCTGCCCTTGAACTCACAATGATCCTCCTGCCTCAGCCTCCCAGTGCTGGGATCATAGGTGTGCACCACCATGCCCGACTAGCTTGTTCTTGACCAAAGTGTATGTATCACATATCTTTCACCTTCGTACTATTTATGTTTGGGCCCAGTTCTAAACTTTGGCCTTTTAGATCCCGACAAGAAACTTCAGTATATTTGTCATCCTATTTGCCACCTAGAAGGGAGACTAGATAACTCTTACTTTGGAATTTTTGATAACTACATTTATTTATTTTATTTTATTTTATTTCTTGGTACCGGAAATCAAACTCAGGTCCTTGCACTTGCCAGGCAGGGACTGTGCCTCTGAGCTACATCCCTGGCACCAGATAATTACATTTAGTATGAATCATAATTCACAGAAAATATGGATTTTGGAATGTGAGCAATGATTGAAAGTCTGGGGATGTTTAGCTTACAGAGAGGAATACTTGGAGAGATAAATATGTTGATATTTATTATTTGAAGATTATCTTTGTAAAGGAAGTAGAATTCAAATAAGTAGCATCAGTAGGTAGATCATGAGAAGCCTATTTTCAGTTATTAAGAGGAAAATATTAATATACAGAGCAGTTTTTGATAGAGGAAGTGCAGTAAGTCCTGTCATAGATAGAAAATTAAACCAGTGAAGTAATGTGAACTACTCAAGATAATACCATTAATTGTTGGTACATGTTCCTATCATTAAGTAGGCAGCCTTCATGTGAAAATAGTTTTGGTAAACAAGCTCTTGCAATAATATAACAAAGCATTAAATATTTGGTTCATTCACTGAAGCCTAACAAGTGATTAACTAAATGTTTTTGGCAGCTGTTGTATTTGTTGTTGATAGCAGTCACAGAGACAGAATTAATGAAGCACACAGTGAACTTGCAAAGTTGTTAACAGAAAAAGAACTCCGAGATGCTTTGCTCCTGATTTTTGCCAACAAACAGGTAACGTGTTATATTAGTTATTTTAGTAGTTTGTGTATTCTGTATCATAAAGCAGCTGAAAAAATTTTTAAAGAGAATCACTTTACAAGTTATTTATGAAATTTCTGTGTATTTTGAATGCATCTGGGTATCTTGGAGTATACAAAAAAAAGAAGGTAATTATTGCTCACCAGTATTGTGAACACCTGTGAGATTCTAGCACAAAGAAAACTGGAAGTAACTTCAGTAATATTAACAAAGCATTATGGGGAATAAGGGGAGAGAGAGTGAAAAAGGGTCGGGGGAGATACAGAGGGTTAATAAAGGCGAGATCTTTTAAGATTTATAAAAATTAGGATTTGAGTTTAAGATAGGAGTTAAAATTATGGGTGGAACTTTGACTGTAAAGCAAAGAACATTACCGGCATAGAAAACAATAGCACAGTGTTTTTAGGGACGATAATCAAATGGACCTGTATGTGAGGTACAGGCAGAGGATGATGAAAAAATCTAGAATAACAGATGCAGTCACTTTGTCAAGATCAGATTGAGCTCGATTGGAAAATTTAGGTTTTAGTCTATGAACAAAGAATCATCAGAATGTTTTTGGACTAGTGAGTGATGAGACTCTATCAGTGTTTTAAGACTAATTTGGGGGACAGAATGTTCAATGAATCAGGACAAGGGACTAAATAAAATGCAGTCAACTACTAAAATAATTCATGTGACTCTTAAGACCCAGAGTTTGAGGAGGAGAAAGGCAGAAGCAGGCCAAAGAGAATGTATGGAGGTAAATTCATTAAAATTTAGTGACTGAATAGGGAGAATAAAAGATTGCAAATAATGTATATGAAGATTCCTAGATCTTGAGCCCAAGCTTCCAGGAGGATGAGAATGCTTTGAAGTACATATAGGAGTTGAGTAGAAGTGAAGTCAAATAGATACCATAGGAGGGGAAGAGTAAGATGAAGAGTAAAGAATTTTCTCTTGACAAATAAAAGGGGGCAAAATTAAGAACTGATATTTATGCTTACATTGGATAACATGCAAATAAGACACCTATCAGGTAGTTAATAATTGTTTCATAAGATACAAAGATTCATATACACTGTTGGTGTGGTTATCAAACTGAGGCTTTTTTGGTCTTGGGGATCAAACTCAGAGACTCATACATGCTAGGCAAGCTTTTTATCACTGAGCCATATCCACAGCCCTAGGCATTTTCTTAGAGGCCGGTTTGACAGTATCTGTCAAAGTTTTGGATGCATATACCCTTTTACCCTAAAAATCTACAGTGTAATGTATCTTATAGACAAATATCCAAAGGTTATCCTACAAGTCATTTTGTAAATGTTATGTAAACTCATGAATACATACATGTATGAGTGTGTTATATGTATGTGTGTAGCCTTCCCTCAGTATCTATGGGGATTGGATCCAGGACCTCTTGTAGCTACTAAAATCTTTGGATGCTCAAGTCCGTTTTATAAAATGGCATAGTATTTGCATGTTAAGCTACACATATCCACCTGTGTACTTCAAGTCTCCTGTAGGTTACTTACAATACATAATACAATGTAAATTCTATGTTAATAGTTAAACTTCATTATTAGTATTGATTTTTTGATTTGCTTTGTGGGGTTTTTTTGTTTTTTGAAACAGAGTCTTGCTATATAGTTTTAGGCTGGTCTTGAACTCAGTATGTAGCCCAGGCTGGCCTCAAACTCATGGCAGTCCTCCTGTCGCACCCTCTAGATTGTGTCACCACACCTGGCTAAACTTTATTAGTCCAGAAATATTGATAATTAAAAACCAACTGTGCATGCTCAGTACTGATGTAGGTTTTTTGGAATATTTTCAATCTGCTGGTTGAATCCGTAATGCAGAACCCAAACATACAAAGGGCCAACTGTATATAAAAATTTTTAATAGCATGTAAGCATGACTTCAATAAATACTTAGTGTAGGACTAGTTACATAAATTGTGTTGCATCCACACAGTAGAATTCAATTCTTATGTTAATGTAGAAAGTCTGCATGTGCTGATAATAGAAGGATATTTATTTATTTATTTATTTGTTACTGGGGATCGAACTCGGGACTTTGCACTTGCGCAGCAGGTGGCAAAACCACTGAGCTAAATCCCCGGCCCAAAGATATTTATTTTTAAGTCAACATGTTAAGTAAAAAAAAATCCTGCAGGTTATAGAAATTCTAAAGTATGTTTATTTTTATGTTTGTGTGCATTAATATGGAAATTTTCTGGAAAACTATGTAAGAAATTGTTATTGATTATTGCTCCCAAGAAGTAGGAATAAAGGGTGTTTAAATTGGGAAATGTGATAAACTATCACATAAATTCGGTATAAACCATTTTTAATATTATATATGTGTTAATTTCTTTTTTTGTAACTGATGTCTTATGATGACTTAGTATCTTCCACTCAGGTTGCGTGGCCTTCACTGATTTCATTGTAAGAGTATTCTTACAAAATATATATATATATATATATATATATACATATTTTTTTTGGTACTGGGGATCGAACTGGGGTCCTTGTGCTTACAAAATATATATATTTACACATACACACATTTTAGCCAAAACTACTTCTTTTCTATTACTACTTTCAGGATAATTATTGAAGGATGAATCCTGATTATAACTTTTGTTTAGGTTTCTGTTAGAATGCTATCAATAGACTTCTGTATAAAAATAACAAAAATGATAAGTTGGATGGACTGAAAAAAATACACTGTGTATATATGTATCTTTCAGGATGTCGCTGGAGCTCTGTCAGTAGAAGAAATCACTGAACTTCTCAGTCTCCATAAGCTATGCTGTGGCCGTAGCTGGTATATTCAGGGCTGTGACGCTCGAAGTGGTATGGGCCTGTATGAAGGGCTGGACTGGCTCTCAAGGCAACTTGTAGCTGCTGGGGTATTGGATGTTGCTTGATTTCAGATGCCAGTTATTTAGTTTTGTGGTTAACAGTTACTTTGTACATAACACATAAATTCTACATCACAAATACGAAAAGGATGTGCATAGAAAAGAATCTTGGGTTGGGAATGAAGTATGTTATTGCTTTTAAAAAATTACTCTCACAAAATTTGAATTATCGGGCCGGGGATTTAGCTCAGTGGTTTCGCCGCCTGCTGCGCAAGCTCAAGGGCCTGAGTTCGATCCCCAGTACAAAAAAAAAAAAAAAAATTCAGTTATCGAAGCAGATTAGATTGGGTTAAATAGAGATTTCTTAGATATACTGTCTTTTTAAAAAGTATATTTAAGTTTTCCAGATTATATGTTATCCCATATATTGGGAAAAAAGTTGTCACAGAGAAAGGATAAGTGAAGGTTTTGTTTTTCCCAGTGAAAAACAAATACACCAACTGAGTGCCTGGTGGAGCCTGTGTAGAGCAAGGAAGTCGTAACTTCTTTAACTTTCCTTTTCACTGAATTTTGGCAGTACTTAGTAATAGATGTGGCAGTTGTGTAATGAAATAGAATGAACTACATTTGGGGGTAATACAATTACTTCAGTGTTCAGTATAATAGAACATCTTTAGTGCAAAGAACTATAAGCTATAAAGTTAATATTTTATACAATGTTTTATTAAGTTTTCTCCTAAAGCATTTTGTAAAAACCATAGAGAATGAAATGTTATCTAACTAGGCCTGAGTGTCAAATTAGTACTAATAAACTGAAGAGTAATTAATAAAACTGAGTCATTTGATCTTCACCTTGGCTTATTTCCTAGTCCAGAGCTCTAAATTGGTCCTTCCATTTTTCAACATATTATTTCTTTTTAAAATATTCTATCCTTTGTGGGAGTGACTATAGGTAAAATATAGTCAGTCACACAAAGAACCAGTAGTCAGTTTTCCATAAAAGAGAACTAAATAGAAAACTATCTTTACCTTAAAGAGTTGTTGTTCCAAACAATGGGAAATGCCTATTACTTATTTTTAAAGTATTTCCCAAAACAAGTGTATTTATTCGACCAAAAAAAACATGATTAAGGCTTGTCATGACAAAGCCTCAAATTTAAGAGAAAAGACCTATCTACAGAAGGAAATAAAACTTTCACAAAGTTTACATTTGTTATGCAGTGTTGTGAATAAAAGTAAAAAATTTGTGCTCTTTACTGTTTCTCATTTTTAAATGATATTCATGGAAGCATGATTTTATTATATTTAAGTAGCTAGAGTTTTCTGTGTATTTTTTAATCCTTTTAATACTTTGGGATGAAGTTCCCTCTTCAGTCTTATTAGTTGAATTGTTAAAAGGACAGTGTATCTGATGACAAGATGTGACTTACGTGGCAGGTTTGGTTCACTCTTCAAACTTTTTTTAAACAATAATTGTAGAAAACAAAACATTTTAAAGTCCATCAGTGTTATGGGCAATATGTAAATAAGTATATTTTGCCCTTTTTCAAGTAAAAGGCCATGCTGTTACAAGTAGTTTGTGTGCATAAGTGATACTTTGGAATTAAATTATTTAATATTTGACTGATTTCAATGTACTGTGAAAAATAAGAATGGTGTTCCATTTGCCTGAGACCTTGAACTGTTTTCTGTACTAGATAATTGAAAAAAGTGTAACATTGACGTGTGAATTTGCTTTCCTTATAAATTATTTCATTGATTTTGCTGAACTTGTAATTCATTCTCAGCATATAAGTGAACACAATTTCAAAACTTGGCTCAGGCCTGAGCATAATGTATATATATTGGTAGGGTTTGTGTTTGATTTTTCTTAAAGAAATATTTTTTTCAAGCTCCAATTACTGTTTATGGTTGTAATCTTTCACTAATCATTAGTCAAGACTGTGCTGGTGTCCCCTGGGAAATGTCAGATTTAAGAATGACAGATGTTTTAAATACAATATATTAAGATTTGCCTCCTAGCTCTGAATTCCTGTATTATCTAAATATTATTGGATGTATTATATAAAGCAGCTGTCAAGTATATAGCCTTGGTTTATAATTCAGCAATGCTTAAAACCACCAGAAGCTATTATTTGCTTTACATACATGATCAGTACAGACAGCAATAAAATATTAAAATCATTATAAAGGAGAAGTCCTATCATTATTGTATATGTTTCTTGAACCATGAATCTAGTATTACTGCTAGTAGCCAACTTAAAAAGTCATTAAGGGTTGGAGGTGTACCTGGCATACATGAGGCCCGGGTTTGATCCTTGGCACCAAAATCAACAAAGTTATCATTTGTACTGTAGTTAGGAGAAACAATAAAACAAAAGGGGGAGGGGACCTGATTTGCCTACCAAATTCTAGCTATTTGATGAAGCAAAAATTTAGAAATAACGTATTCTGTATGTTCTAGATCACTTTTAATAATACAACTGTGTAACAAAAGTGTTTTGAAGGGAGAGCTAAACCTTGTAGTGAGCAGTGTGAAGCTTTTTAGCTCTTACTGCTTTATAAATTTTTTTTTTTTTGGTACCAGGGATTGAACTTGGGACCTTGTGCTAGCCAGGCAGACAGCGGAACCACTGAGCTAAATCCTGGGCCCTGCTTTTTAAAGTTTAAAGAACATGGCATTTTAAATGACCACTTTTAGAGGCCGGTTGCTCAATGGCATGGCACCTGCCTGGCAAGCGCAAGGCCCTGAGTTTGACCCCAGTACCAAAAAAGAAAAAAAAAAAGATCACTTAAAAAAACTGGCTTGAAGTGTTGGGAGTGTAGCTCATTAGTAGTGCACATGCTTGGCATATGCAAGGCTCTGGGTTTAGATTTTTTAAAGGGGGGGGGCTTGAAAAAGTCAGCTGTAACTTATAAATATTGATGACCTTTTTATATAACTGTACTGGTTTTCAGTTTGCAAAGTGCTAACAGGAAAGAAAATATGAGTACATTTCCCTAAAAGAGTAAGAAATGAAAAGGATTAACAAGTACGAAATTGGATTTTTTGGTTTTTTGAGACAGGGTCTCGCTTCATAGTTCACACTGGTCTTGAACTTGCAGTGACCTTCCTGCCTCAGCCTCTTGAGTACTGGGATTACAGGTGCACACCATCATTCCCCGCAGAAATACTAGTTCTTAATAGTTACAAAGTAACTTATAAGGGTAGTGGTGAAATCAATGACTTTGAAGTCATAGATTTTTTTAGTTACATTAGAAGATACAGAAATAATAGACCTGCGTTTAAACTACTAAAGTAATCACTTCTGGTTATTGTTTATAAACATTTCAGAATACTATGGAGTGTAACACTTTTGAACAACAGAGCCTTCTTCTTGAAGGTTTACCACTACTACAGTGATCAAAAGACAAAAATATTTGGTATGAAACAAAAACCTTATAAAATAGTATATATAAAAACCTTTTGTTTTTTTCCTCTTAGAGGGATCTGCCCTTCTCTAAACCTAAGGGCAGACCATCTGGCATGTTTTCGAAAGTTAAGGAACAAATATGTACCACCCCCAATATTTAATAACTTAATATTTTGGAGAATTCTAAGAAATTACCTGTAAGGAATGCTATTTGCTACATTTCACTATGTCTTAGGATTAGAAATACTCCAAGAAAAAGGCACTTTTTACAAAAACAGACTTTAATGAGAAAAATATAGTATTGCATCTTTTAAAACATGATTTATATATTCAAGTTTTAAGCTTTGTAAAGTAAAAGAATCTTGTGTTCAATAAATGTACATTTATTTGCAAATACAGTGAAACATTTTACTTGACAGTGATATTTATAATGCTGACATCCTCATAAGGTTTATCTGTTTTGGGATTGACTTTGACGTTGGAGATCCTCTGCACAACTTCCATTCCTTTGGTCACTCTTCCAAATACTGTGTGCTTATTATCAAGCCAAGGCTGTGTTGGAGGACAAAAGGAAAATGTTGGTAAATATGGATTTCTTAAATCACCCTTTTGGGTGAGCAATTAAAGAAAACTTAAATTCTTGGTTCTTTTTATTATGTATTTAAAGGGAAGTACAATAATTTCTGAATAAAAACAGCAGCTTTTAAAAGTTATTCCCTATTTATATGAAAAAGACATACATGCCTATGTTACTCTTTAGTATCCAGGGAGTATTGGTATCCTTCATTCCTCTTGCAGTATTAAATCCATAGATGCAATTTTCTTTCTGAATATTTTCAACCCATGTTTAGTAAGATAACTAAAGAACCCAATGTACAGAGGATCAAGTTCAATTAAATCTATATTGTTCAGACCAAAGGGAGGTAGATGTTTGCTAAAGGTAAGTTACTTTGTGTGGATTTAAAAAATTATGGCTGTGGCTTTTGAAGTTTTCTGTAGGAATCTTCCCTGAACAATTAAGAGGCAGTTTTAGGGCCAGGGATTTAGCTCAGTGGTTCTGCCACCTGCCTCGCAAACGCAAGGTCCTGAGTTCGATCCCTGGTACCAAAAAAAATAGTAGTTTTAGCATGTACTGTAATTGATATTAGGTAGTAATTGATAGTTTAATTGGTGGCTTTACTACTTACTTGACCTTTGGCAAGTTAATCATGGCTTGCCATTTGTTTCCTCATATGTTACTGAAAACTGAATATAGTGATATTATAACTACCATGAGTATAATAGCAGCTATAAATATTTTTCCATTCTTCATTGCTTGGTCTCAGCACTTATAATTTTGTGGAACTGTGTAACAACAGATCTAGATGACATAACTAGTTGTATGTTACCTAGTTATATTTTAGCTAGTTATTACTAGTTATATTTTATCAACTTTTCTCTAAATTATTTTCATTTTTATATCTTGGCAAGTATGCAGAGGATAGAGAATAATGCAGTTCTTTTGTCCACTGGTTTCATTCTCTTGGATCATGACCTTTGAATCTATGGTTTATAAACAGTGCACTTACCGTTGGTACTACTGTTATGAAAAACTGTGATCCATTAGTATTTGATCCAGCATTGGCCATGCTGAGGGTGTATGGTCTGTCATGTCTTAATGTTGAATGAAATTCATCTTCAAATTCTCCTCCCCATATACTTTCTCCTCCCATACCAGTACCTGTCGGATCTCCTGTCTGAATCATGAAGCCCTTAACAGAAAATATACAAAAACATGTTACACTTTTCAAAAGTTTATATGTAGGTCTTGGATGTTTTATTTCTGCCAGGACTGCTTTGTATTTGGTAAAATCCTTGAGCATCCTTAAGTATCTCTATAAAGTGGTTAGATTACTCTTAGTAAGTTAAATTGGATGATGTCTTTTCATTCAGTGACTAAAACAAGAATACAAATGTTTGGGCTAGTTATAGTGGCACACACCTGTAATCTCACTAATCAGAAGGCTGAGGTAGCAGGACTGCCACAAGTTTGAGGCCAGCCTGAACTAAATATAAAGGTCTATAGGCATGCACTACTTTCCTAATAATATAAAGAAAATAGTTAATAAGTGTGTTAGGATTTTATAATATTTTATGTTTTATACAAGTGCCCTCATCATCCTTCTCTCACTTCAAATACTATAGACTTTCTGGAGTTGTTTCACTAATTCCTTCAAAACTCTGACAACTAGTTGATTTTTCTTTCTGCCGTTTACTTTTTCTGTTGTTTGCTTTTGGAGATAGTCTCGCTATGTAGTTCAGGCTGTGCTTCAATTTACAGCAGTCCTCTTTCAGCCTCCTGAGAGATGAGATTACAGGTGTGCACCACCATACCCAGCTCTTCCTACCATCTCTGAGCTGCCAGTATGTAAGAACTCTGTCACTGCTCTATCCACTGGATGTTCAGAAGTTGGAGGTTGATCTTACTGTCCTCCTAGGTATAAAAATGGTCTCACAGGTCAGATGGCATTGTGACTCTTCCATGGTTTAAAATCTTATCCTCTAGATCTAGATCTTGCCTAGGTACCAGGAACTGGTTGTCTTTACTACTGGGTTTTATCTCAGCATGACCCTTTACTCATTTTCTTACCCTCTGCTTTAGCTGCTGACAAAATGTTGCTTTAGTGTTTCTAAAAAGATAATCATGTTGCTGCTTCTGTCCTTTATTCTAGATATGCATGACTATCTATCTTTTTTTTCTTTTTGCCTCTGTAATCTACTTTCCATTTTCCTTCGAATAAACTAGTAAGTATAAGAGGATTCTTTAGGCTTAAATTCCTTGTCTAGTAACTTACTGTTTGTTAAACAGCATGAAATTTACATAACTTACCTTGATTATACGGTGAAAAGTATGCCCATTATAATAACCATTTCTACTGTGAACACAGAAGTTCTCCACTGTCTTAGGGCACCTAGTAAGACACATATTAAAAATATGAAACTCATTTAGAGCACCTTAAAACAGTTTTCTTTGTAGTTCCAATTCCTAATAATGTTCCCAATGTCTCCTGAATATTTCAGAAGGTAAATCTTTTTAAATAATCTCCTCTATTTTGCCAGGGATGTAGCTCAGCAGCTCTGTGCGTGCCAGGCAAGCGCAAGGTCTTGAGTTCGATTCCCAGTACCGTAAAAAAAAAAAAATATTACCCTCTATTTGCAGAACAAACTAGTTGAAAGGGCATGTAAGCAGTAGTATATTCTCACTGTTTATACAGTAACTTTAGATCATGATTGCTTATTAATGAGTTTGACAGTATATTTCAAGGTCATTTCACAGCTTAACAAAATGCAACCATAGCACCATTAGATATATATCTTAAGTTAATTTACCATGTATAATATTGGGTTAAGCTTCTAGGAAAGGTAATATTCTTATGAAAACAATGTTATGGTACAGTGACTCACTCTTTTTTTTTTCTTTTGGTACCGGGGATCAAACTCGGGTTCTTGAGCTTACGCAGCAGGCGGCGAAACCACTGAGCTAAATCCCTGGCCCCAGTGACTCATTCTTGACCAAGGGCTTACAGAAACAGTATCTCTCAAATTTGAACAACTTTAAATAAGAGCCATACACTAAGAACATGAAGTTTTCTCAATATTAACTAATTTCATGAAAGGATTTTATATGGTACATTGCAAAATAGTTCTGAGAGCTTGGAATAGAAGGAAGAATCAAAAAAAATCTTGCAGCAGGTACTCATGAAACAGGTTCAAGGTTACATGGGTGCCAAACAATCAA